GAGAAACGTGAAAAAAGGTTAGTTACTCCAAAGTCTTTTGTTATTAAATTGCTTAGTCAAGTTATAGGAAAATAATGAAGAAAACTGTTTACAACGCTGCGAACGAATCTTGAGCACCTGTTATCTAAGATAAATGCCTAATCAGTAAAATTGCAGCTCAGTGTCTTATTTTCATTTGCAAATTTACAAAAAACTTTATCAATAAGCATGCGACCATAGGCACAGGTCTAGTAAAGTAAAACCAGTATCTGACTTTACTCAACGTGTACTTTTTTTCACGTACGCTTTGTCTACTACTTAGTTTGCTAGTATTTGAAATGCAAACAAAATAATAATACTCTGGTTCTGAGTATAAAGAAGCCAGTTCCGTTTGGATTGTTAACCAAGACATATCATAATAGAATTATAAGCAGAGGGAATATATAATAATATATATATAAGAGAGTAATTGTAAATTATTATAAATTATAAATTTAATTTAAATTGAATCTAATAATAATGCAATCTCATTCGTAATAGGGCAATAAAAACTCGACACCTCATCTGGCTAAACTATTACCACCGCGTTAATAATATAAAAAAGAAAATAAATAAAACAAAAACTGGATGCGTAAAATTGTGATCGAAAACCAGTTTTAAATTAACTTTCTAATGCACTAATGTAAGTTAAGCACCCACCACCTAATAAACGAAGACTAACCACATTCTAAAGTATTAACTTACAAAGTTATAATATTAACTGTGTATTCAAATGCTTTCATCATACATAGATAGTTTAGTTTAGTGTTTTTCATTGAAATCAACTTTTTTTTTTGTAGTTTTAGTTAGAATCGTAAAAATATTCCCCTCTTCTTGCATTTACCTGAGTCATTTTTCTTTAGTTTAACAGAACGCAATTTGTATAATGAAAACGAAATTAGAGGCTTTCGTTTCAAAGACAAATAAACAAGAAGACAGACAGTTTGTTTTATGATGACGGTTAAATATGCATAGTGTACGACACCAATGTTTAACATTTCAAATAAACTAAACTGTCAACTTAATTAACATATCTATACTGTCTAACAATGAATTAATACAAAAGAAAAAATAAAAATAAAAAATATAAATAAAAAGAAGGAAAAATTGCATTTGACTTGGATCGAGAATTTTTATATGTATTACTAGCTGGATTGAAATGAGGAAATTCTTTTAACAATAGTCTTACGACAACCGCCAACTAGACAGGTTTTTTGAGTTTAAAAATTCAGCATAAGAGATGTTATGCATTGGCTTTTAACGATATAATGCAGTAAATATATATGTTCGTTCTTTTGTTCTCTGGCACGCCTATTTTAGCTATTTTCATGCAAGCGCAATGGTGTATATATATATCTACGAACACTCTGTCAATTTGGCGGATATATTCTGTGAATTTTTACTAACTCAAAAATGGAAATAGGAACCTGAAATTTGGTAAAAGCATTCCTTGCTCGATTAGGAAAACGAGGCTAAAAAATGCATACGATGCGTTCACAGGCACGCCCAAAATGCAAAAGAAACTAAACAACCTCTGAAAACGCCGGCAACTGTTTCATATGTTCATCTATATCTTTCGATACATACGTGCAGCACTATTCATATTTCTTTCTTAATAATGAAAAAAAAAACAACTTGTCATTTATTGTTTTTCAAAACATCGGTTTTTATGACTTTCACACCTTTGCCTACGTTCGAAACCTTTTTTCATAGCATTTTTTTCTCGACAAATCGCCAACACGTGATGTTTGCATACATCAAGTTCTTCTTCTGGCAATGGAATTTATTCTTGATGATTCTCGGTTAGAAAGAGAAATCATTGATCATCAAATGAAGGTGGGGTAATGGTGGATAAACGACTAATTCAATTTTTTAAGCATTGAAATACTCAGCTGTTAAAGCAGATGTTTACTAGCTTGCATTTCCATGATGAGGAACGTTCCGATGAGCTATGTTTGTGTTTTTTTCTTATTCGCCTAAATACTTCCGGTAAACAAATGGTAAGGCACCGTCCGAAATTGATCGTTAGACGCTCTTGCGGCATAATCAGTTTTCCTGAGAAGACAGACGGCCATTTATTTCAAAGTGCTTCGAGAGCAAACCACTTTTGTTGGCTCTGGTTTATCGTGAAACAATTCTCGACTGCTACTTACCGACTCAAGGGCATAGATCTATAATTCGTCATCTGTTACGATTTTATATACGTCTTTTGAAACTATTGCATTTCCGAAAGAGTCATATATGCCAATCGATGCGAGCATCTTTCTGAAATATTGGCCAAGTTGTGTGAGATGCAACGCGAAAAAATATTTTGCACGATTAATTGATCAAACAATATTTCGTATACTTTCATGGAACTAATGCGTAAAGCTATCTGATTTTCGCGATACGGCATATGCCGAGCTTGCCCTATCAGGTTTTGCACAACATTAATACTTTCTCGCACAATAACTGATTTTAGGCGACTTTCACGAATTTCGCTGGTGAGCGAAAACTGATCACAATTTAACTTGTTATACCAGTTTTTCGCAGTAACAAGAAATGATGCTTTGTCAATTACTTATAAGATACGGTAGCGCAAATTATAAGATAAGAGAAAGATCGACAAAAACGATACCCACAAAAACTTCTTCACACAGTTTCCTATTCGGTTTTAGTTCTTAGATTTTCTTAAGTGAAGTTCTGCTTCGTTTTCGAATTTTTTTCTAATGATACCCATGGCGGGCAGGACAATACTTTGCACGTAATAAATTCAGGGTCAGAAATTTCGTTTGCTTCCTGATTTAATGGCAACAATAAGTTCTTGTATTAGCTGTTGGTAAAAAGTTCTTGGATTCCATTATTATTAGGAACTCTTGATCTTCTGAATGCAAAGCCAACTAGTATAACCGCCGAAGTTCAGTAAATACTTACATGTTACTGGGTATGGAAGACGAGATTAAAAAACCAGAATCAACTAATATAAAGTGAGATAGATGATTGCTTACGGTTTCGGCAGCGCTAATACACGTTAAGTTTTATGTTATGTCATTAAATCTTACTCCTTCGCTTCTAAAGAAAATCGTTCAACTTAAGGTAGTGCATACAATAACCATAGCCTAGTTTCTGCTTCCATCCATTAATGCTGCGTGAAATAAATACTTTAATATAAATAAACAAATGCTGATTTTCTTTTATTTGAATCTTTCATTTTCCCGCGTTTGCTAAACGCATTCATATTTACAAAATACGAATAATTATGTCAGTAATATTTGCTAATGATTATGCCATACGTATTATAACTTGTGATGCAAGGTTGTGCTGCGTTCGTGTGGATATATGTAATAGGCAGAAGGACGGAAGATAGAACCACCTTTTGTTTTTACCGATCAACACAAAACCAGAAACTGATTTGATCTAATCTTGGTTGTCAATCCGTCCCTATATTCTTCTTGTGACCCACAGGCCGCAATTGTTAAGATATTTTAATGAAATTTGGTACGCTGACGTATTTTGGCCTAAGAACGGAAGGTCCCATATAATACCTTTTCTGTAAAAGTTGCTTTATATAATTTTAAGATGGTGTAAGAAAGTGGTAGTAATAGCGGACCTTGGCTCTCTGCTAGTCGTTACTGATGTCATAAGCATTTTGTGTCTTAGCTAATCTTCATTTGTTAATGCTTTATAACATATTATTCGCGGCTTTTAGTGACTCAAGTGCAAAATTTGTATTTTCTTTTAATTCCTTTGATTTTTTATTGCTCATAAGTAAATTTGATATAAGTAAATTTGATATAAAACTAGTTAACACTTCTTTAACATTAGCAACTTTGACAATAACACAATTACGTTGTATACTCGAAATATTTTTTTTATCGTTTCTACATAATTTTCTTTATTTTTTTAGCTGTTAAACGAGCCTATTATTTGTTTAATGGCTACCTTTTATGATTTCGAAAAATGGTTAACTTTGCAACAAAAAATTATTTAGGAAAGACTTAAGCAGAAAACTTGCTGAGTTCATTCTTTTTAAAGTTGAATACACAAGCCGCTGAAGGTTACTGTTATTACAGCTTTTACGACATGTTTTCTTTTGTATGTATTTGTGGTTCGTTGAAATAGTTTTGAATATTATGAAAAAATGCATAATTGAGTGGCTGGGAGAAAAGAGTACGGAAGTTTATTTAAATGAGTTTAAAGTACATGAATTCATAATTGACTGAGACGAAGTATAAGAAAAATACGTGTATAATCTGTCTCCCTTTTCTTTTCATTTTTCTTTGTATAAACCACAATTTACTGAGTCATTCAGTATTGTTTGTGTTCACAAGAGAAATATGAATAAACAGTAAATAATTAAATAATAAAATATTGACACTTTCGTTTTACTTATTCATTGTTTTCTTTTTTCATATTCATTTCACTTCCCATTATTTATTATACCTAACGTAGAGGGTGTGTTAAGTTTGCAAAACGTTTGCATTGTATAGATATGCGTAATGGATTAAGACATTGTTTTGAAGCGGACTAATACAAGTCGGTCTGTCTGGATGCTGAAATTACAATTACAATTTCACAACTTTATTTAGAACACACGCACACATTAAAACCAACTCATAACATTTTTTTTTTTTGCTGCTCCCAATTTTAAGTGTAAGTTGGACTACAAATTGTCAATAATCACAATTTTTAAAATTGCACGCCTAACATTTGACATTCTTTCCGGTAGAGAATGCTTTACCTGAGCGTTTAAGTGTAAAACTTTCAACCGTTTATAAATTTATGGTGTTTTGTGTAAGACACCTTATGTGTTTGTCTATACTTTCCTAACTAACATAGAGTAAATTGATTGTTTATAAAGTAAAAAAATGTACATCGTCGTCATTATAAAGCTCAGATGTCTTCAATTAACATGATCTGATTTAGTTATGTCTGAGATCATTCCAAGGGTTTTTGACCTTGCCCTAGAAAGTTTATTTATTTAAAATTCTCGCTATCAAGACAGCATTCTCCGCATGAACCTGAAAACAATAATGCATGATTGAGGGTAAAGATCGTATCGTATTGTTGTACGGGCAACCTCCACCACTAGTCGGAAGATCTAATGTGATCGCTCATGCCCCTCCAGCTATACCATACACACTTTGGAGTGCGCCAAACACATGATTTATGACTACACAGATCGCTTCGCATAAAATATGATAGCATCTGACACTCCTCCCTCCGCAGAAACTGCATGAAGTGGTGCAGGTGGCACGTGAGGGAATTGTAATCGGAGGAGAAGCCGGTGAGTAAACGTAAGTTGCTCTTTTTTAGGTCCAGTAGCTTATGTGCGGCAGATTATCTAATTATATTCTTGTCCTTGGCTTCCAGTAACAATTCAATTTTTCAAGTTTGCCCATTGCGATACCAATCTGTTAATATGGCTTTTTGGTACACAAAATTGCCAGACCTGGCCTACGCTGTTAGCTGAAGAATTAGCCGCTTTGTAGCTTTCATTGCCCGAATTTCCAAGTATCTATACCAGGTACATGTCATTGTTCTTGCTAAGCTCTTTCAAGATTTAGAGACGCTTCAATATGGGGCTAGACTCTCTCAGGGCCTTTAGGTACGCTGAGAATCTCTTGAGAAGCCTGACGAGAGCGACCAAACACGATTATTTTATCAACTTTCCAGCCTGTTAGCAGAAATTTCATATATATCGAAAAAAGCGGATGTGTTGACTTATCCAAGTTTATTTTGACAGTGTCTAAGAATATTTACTTACGTTAAGGTATAAAGAGTAAAGGGTAGAACGCATTATGTGTTGTTAAAAAAAGGACGTTTTCAACAGGTTCAATGTAAACGAAATGGAATTGGAACAAGAGCAAATTGAACTATGTATATATTTTCGATACTTTCATCCAAAAACAACTGCTAAAAATCCTTTCTTTTTAGGCTGCTATCGTGGCGTTACTCCTTATTTATGCTATGCTTGGAGTATGTAACAAAAAAGGTTTCTCTACACTAGCGTTTATCGATGTTAGTAGCGTTTCTATAATAGTACTTTATTATGTGTGTATGCGTAATCACGGAAAGGAAGTCTGAGAGACATTGTTTGTAATTAAAGAAAAACCAAAGATTACGTTAAATAAAAAGCTTGTGCTCATATTTAAAAAAATATCTACTAAGAGCCTATGCGGACTGCGCTTATATTTTCAGTGCTCGTTCGACCAATTGTGGTTTTAAACTATCGTCTTTTTTATTCCCACAACCTGATAAACTTGTCGCCAATTTGCCAAAAAGAAGGAGAATGTCATAAGTAAAGCCAAAAATAGTCTGCGAAATTCTATATTCAGGGCGCTTTTTGCATACAGCAAAGCATTTTTCGTTAGGGAATATTCATGTTGTACAAATAAAGCTTTTTACTACAACTGCAAACGGCTTTGAATCACTACCGAAAGTGGACACAGACTAAGGTTAAGTAACAGCTTTGTGACCTTTGCGGATATTTATTAAATGTTTCTCTTTCGACATACGCTACAAAATTTACACAAAGACGCCATACTTTCATGCCTAGTGCTAGGTTTACTTAATATTTTCAGTATTCCCTGTTGTTCCAGGAAACATATAATATAACCTCTTTAACTTAGAAATGTACTTTATTAACTATATATTCAAAAGTAATGTAACTATATATTTATAACTATTTATAATTATAAGTAATAAAAAGAAATAAGTGATGACGTCCTCTTCTAGGTCGGCTATAAATCTTTTCTTCTTATCCATTATGATTTTTTGATTTCATTTATCATTTTGTATTCGTTTGTTCTCTTTATCAGCATGCACTTGTTTTAAATTTCTTTACATATCTTCATTACCTAAAGAAAAAACCGTTATATTTTAAGTCGTTCGTTTTAGAATTACATGTTTTTTTTTTTTTGAGTTTGTTTTTCTTGTGTATTCGGTTGTAAAACAAGCACTTTGCTCTAAATAAATTTCAATATTTAGACCGCATGTCTACCGTTTCGTTGTTAACAACTGCTTCAAATGATAACAATAAGCTGCTAATTTAAAATACTTTCACGTCCTCTGCAGATTTATTTAAAGAAAAAAAGAAAAAAAGAAAAAAAAAAAACAAAGAAGAAAATATATAATATATTTAAACCCACACACAACGTCCATAAGACAACAGTAATGATTGAACGATACATAAAAATTCACCGACACGTTCCGCAAACATTTACAACTTTATTGCTGTTATTTCTTTTAAACAACTGTTCTCGAAACGAAAAGCAGCAAACATGATTCAAAAATAACAGAGAAGAAAAAAAAAAAAAAGAAAAACTTTATTCGAAATGAAAGTACGTTAAATAGAGCAAAAATCAATTATCTATTTAAGAAGATATTAATGCGTGGTTAGGTTGATTTCTAAGCTCTAAGAAATTGTTAAAAGTTTAAATTTTGCTTTATTTTCTTCAACAATTTTTAGCAAAATGGATTCTTTTTTTTTTTTTTTGCTTTATTTTTTCATACATTTTAATTTATTCCATTTTCAAGATGATGCTGGTCTCTTTGTATATATATATATATCTATATATATACATATATATATATATATGTATATATGCATATATTAAAAACTTGTTCGTTTAATAAACTTAGCTTTTTTTATAACGGTATCTCATGACTGGCAAAAGTGTGCCAGTGTTTTTTAGGCGACTTCGAATCAGTTCAAATAAATGATTGTTAATTAAAAATTTCCCCAAATTAAGTAAAATGATTTTATTAAGAAAATGCTGTTAGTCTCATATTAAGTATATAGATTGAATGAAAAAATTAAAAGCAGATGAATTAATTTAAAAATTTCGTTAAATTCGTTTTAATTAAAAAGAAATAAAAGCAATGTGCTCGCTATGATCAGATAACTCGATGCTCTTTTATAATTTCTGCGAGGCGTTATAACTTATACCGTTATTTAGCAAAATTGGTACAAATTTTCGTTAAACAAGCATTATTTGATTCAAACTTAATGGTTGAAATTAATGCAAAACTTTGTGTAAGAATTCGACGAGAAAGAAGTCTGACCCCATTGTTTATTGCTTTCACCTCAAGTCAAAGAACAAGAAATGTACGAGCAAAAGCCTAATAAACTTCACATCCTTCAGTTATCGTTGCTTCAAACAGTCTTAACAATTTAACAACCTTGCCTTACTTTCTTTATGTTACATCTGCCAGTATCAGAATGTATTAAGATGTGAAATCTGTCATTGGAATCTTTTAGATATGATGAGTCAAATCTTCACTTACTTCATTGACTTTATTTATTTAATTATGCTCAGCTACGAAAAGTGCCTTATTAGCTAATATTACCGTATGCATGCAATGATAGGATATTCATTGATTAAAGAAAATAAATTAAAATGTGTCTTAAATTAGAAAAAAGTAACGTTAGACTGAGCAACGGTAATAACAGCAACTATCTAAAGAAAAGACTTAACTATAAAGTGATGACTAAATGTAGCAATAATAACAAAAGCAAAAAAATTATTTCGACTATGGGCGAAACTTTTATATCCACCACGTTTGAAGTAGAATAGACTATGCAAAAATATTTATTGTTGTAATTTGCCTGTGAGCGTATCCTTTGTTTGACCTGACCCATTTTCAACGGCAACCTGCATATAGAAACTTTCGGTGGTTGCAGTCAAAAGAATGTTTGCCACAGAAATTACACAGGCAGACAGACGGACATGATTAAAATCATTAGGAATTTGATATTTATGCGAGATGTTTGAAGCTTCCTTTTGCCCTTCATCCTTCGATGGTGGGTATGAAAATAACGTGCAAAACTACATTCTTTCTATACGTGTAACAAAATCTCTTCTGGTTAATACTCGCGCATTGCTGATGTCATAAGTAAACTAAATTGTTTAATTAATAAAGCTATATTACGAACCGTTCAAATATTCAAATAATAGCCTTTTTATAAAAGTTTGCCAAGCACCTGCTTGTTTGCGTCGATTTAGTGTTACATAGCATAGCATATCGCCACTGTGTGCGTTTCTGGGCTAGAAGTGAAAGGCGTGCTTTTTCTTTTCTTTTTCTTTCTAATTTATCCTGACATTTATATTCATTTGTATATAAAATCTTTAGTTAATGGTTTTCTCTTGCTTTAATCTTAAGTTAGAATGTCATAGAGTAGATCGTATTTGTTGGTAAACCTCAACCCACTTTTTAATCCCTATATTCTTGATGTAAATTAATTAAAACTATAATATAAGCAAACAATGCCTAGAAGAAAAAATGTCTATATTTGTCGGCATTTACATTTAGTGCGAACATATGGGAGGACTGAACAACTGTGGTTAATCAGTAAGACTATGAATCGTGAATATATATCCTAGTTCCAATACAACCATTCATAAGTTGAATATTTTCATTAATGTAAAGAAGTTCACTAGACACGATTTTTCGAAAACTCCAACGAAGAAAAATATTTCGGATTATTTTCGCATTTTATTTTCACTTTCAATAAGTAATTAAAATATCGATATTGGTTTTGCGAAACAGAACCGACTTAGTACCAGAACTATCGATGTTTTGCATATCGCCTCAAAAATGAATCATTGCCAGCGTTGTGACAAGACTTCAGTTGTCACTTTTGGACACGTTAATAAACCGCTCGAGATAACTTTTGGAACGAATAAGCACTCATAGTACTCCCCCTATAATATGGTAGATTAGTTTCTCATTATAGGAGAACGCATTGTATTGAGAATGTCCGTACAATGCGCTCGTATGACCCCGTATAATGCGTTATGTGCAAATGATTCACGTTTAACTTTTCTCGTTAAAGGGCGTTTAAATTGAATATTATATAATATTATACATAATATCCCCGGCTTCACTTGCACCAAAAGTAATTCTTATTCTGATATCCTAACTTATTCTTTCACTGCAGCCTTCGCTGTTTCAAAATTTTCACGGTATTCTATGCAATAATTGCATCATTAGATATTCAGTTAAAAAGAAAACAAAAAAAAAAAGAAGAAAATTTTACCACAAACAATACCACACAAGATAAATCGCTGATATATTCTATTCCCCCTTGTTGGGCTATAAAACACATTTAAGTTGTTTTTGAGGTTTCTTTTTCTTAACATTTATTTAACGCTTAACAAGATACTGCACTTAGCTTAACAATCGAATTCTATCTAAGGAAACATACATTTTCTTTTCGTTTATTTTTTTCTTTTTAGTTTTTGCTCAAGTTTATGGTGCGGACGAAGTTTACTATGCTTTTACATGAAACCTT